AAAATTAGTGAGAAAATGGCTGCCAAAGATTAGTTATTTCCTTAGCTTTATAGTCCATGGTAACTGAACATTTACATATTTTGGGCAATTTAATTTTAGTAAGATTTTTTACGGCACTTCCAACACAATAAGATCATATAAGTGCCGAGGATTAGAGATGTGTTACAAGAGAGTAACAAACACAAAAAAGAAGGAGGGGAGATAAAGACAATAGATGTTTGATAGGAAAGAAGAAGCAAACCACACCAGAGCACCCGCCAACCACTCAATGCATAATTGAAAAAAAAACCCAACTTGGCGTGCAGCCATGCGTAGTAAGAAACCTAACCTCTCGACATGTTCTCGTGTTTTTGCCTCTGCCTCACCGTTTTTACGCGGAAGTAAAAGAGCTTTTTGAGATATACAGTTGATTTCCTTAGTCTAGCAAGCTCATAGCATTTCAAAATGCTTTGGCACACTTAAGTTGTCTTTCAAAAAAAGAAACGGGGGTCTCGTGGCCTTGAGGTTAAGGTGTTGGCCTCTCCTTCAAAGATCAAAGTTCAAATCCCGGTAGCGACCGAACTATTTTCGTCTCTAAAATCGTCTCCTTTCCCCTCCTTTCCTGCTCTCTAGCAATGTTCTGTCGTCTGCTTTTGTCTCCACTTTCTGCCGCCACCCCCCCCTCCCTCACCCTATTTGCCACATTATCGGGGCTTGTGACTCTGCAGCCTTTCTACTGCTATTCCTTGGCTTCTTCTTACTGCTGTCGTTCAGCAACACCCCTGATCTTCTGGTAGAAAAGATCTACACCTAGCCCTCTCGGACAAAGGCCAAAAATCTCGGAGGGCTCGTGTGCAAGCTGCACACGTTAAAAATCGCTTGGTGGTCTAAAATTGATAAGAGTAGGCTTCGGCCGCCACCTGGGCAAAATTCAAAAGTTTCTACCAACAGAAAATGTTTAATGTGTCCCGCCCGCTCATATGCCCTTATGCAATTCTGTATGACAGTCATATCATTTAAATGCCTCAACCAATATCTTTTCAAGTTGTGTCCACCAGTTTTAATGGCATAATATGTGAGACGTGCTGACAAAATGAGTTACTTCTCGCAGTCCACAGAAGGAGATATTGGCACAAAATCAACACCGAGGTCAAATTAGTAGTTCTTCTATTGATGCTCTACTTTTATGTAGAACATGCCTCTTATTATTTCATACTTATAAATTGTAAAACTTCGCTTATAAGCATGATGTTTCTACTTCCATAAGGCTTGAATTAGGGAAGTAACTCATTTTGTCAGCACACTTCTTTTTAATATAATAATACATACATATCTTGCATGTGCCAAAAAGTATACCAGTCCTTAGTGTTATACAAAATACTTGTAGCACTATCACTTAAAGTAACAAACACTGGGTGGGTGGTTGGCGGGTGCTCTGGTGTGGTTTGCTCCTTCTTTCCTATCAAACAACTATCGTCTTTATCCCTCCATCTTCTTTTTTATGTTTGTTACTCTCTTGTAACTCCTCTACACTTTGGCACTTATATGACATTGTGCTGTGAGTGCCGTGAAACTCTCGCAAAAGCAAAAAGCAAAAAAAAAAAAAAAAAAAAAAAAAACAACAACAACCCCAATACCACTGGGGGTTTTTCCGTTCCCTTTGTTAAGTGAGCAATGTTTCCCCTTGAACAATACGTCTCCTCACCTGGCATCATTTAAATGCCTCAGCTAATATCTTTTCAAATTGTGTCGACTAGTTTTGATAGCATTATATAAAAATATGTACATATGTGTGGCAGCGTGGTGGAATCAGGCTCTCGTCAAAATAATCAAAGTGAAAAAACCTGCATTTTTCCACAGGTTTGTGAATTTTAATCAAATTTTTGTTTTTTGGCTCAACACCTTTCATGCCCAATTAAAGAACTAATTTCTTGTGGACTTTTCATAAAAACGTTGATTAAAGGCACAAAAAAAGTAAATTTTCAGTTACCACGGACTCTGAAGCTAGGAAATAACTAATATGTGGCGGCCATTTTCTCACTAATTTTACCCCTGAAAACAAGTGACCCCTACCTCCTTCTTTCGCAAATATCTTGACTTGTATTCAAGATAAATGGATATTTTTTTCATCCAAATAAAGACAAGTGAACAGGCTTTAAGATGCTACCAATAACTCTACATGCCCCAAAAATTGACAAGAGCCTGATTCCACCACGCTGCCTCACATATTACAGTACAAGTGATGAAAAATCTACCAGTCCATAGTCTTATTTTATAATAATATCATACTCGTAGTTCTCTAACTAAAAGTAATCAACACTGTCGGTTTTTTCCCGTTCTTTTTGTTATGTGAGCAACGTTTCCCCATGATCACTAGGACAGTGACCTCACCTGCTGGTACTTGTAAAG